GCAGGAATGATCCAATAAAAGATACTCCCTCACCCTCTAATATCAGAGTGGCTACTACAGCATTGCATATAAAGCACGTATATGCTTTCCCAGATGGGGGGGGGGGGGGTCTATATTTTTAGTAGAGCTCTCCAGTGAAGGCACAATATTTTTAATCAGTCTGTAAGAAATCAGTCCAAATGTTCGTAAGCCAATAGGTTTCCATAGGTCATAAAAGAGAGATTAGAGCTTTGAAACTGATACAGAAAACAGAGGTTGTTTATATAACAGCAAAATGTTCCATTTTCAAGGCTCATTATTTTGAAGGACTGTGTTGTCTCTAGTGTCTCTCTGTATGTTAATCTGCTAGGGTAACATAACATTCTGTATGTTTGTCCTTTTCCATTTGAGATGCTGGTATGTAAATAACTTCCCTGTGCAGGAGCTGCTGGCCAGCGGGTGGAGTAGTGGCAAGAGGCAGTGGCAGAGAATGTCTGCTATGTTTGCTTCAGCAGCAGCACCTCCCCACGAACAGAGCCGTATCTGTGCATGTGTGGGAGCTGCTTACCAGCCAAGAGGGGAGTGGCAAAAGGCGGTGGCAAAGCACACCTGCCTTGTCTGCCACAGTGGTAGCACCTCACCAAGCCAGGCCATGTTGGTGCATGTGCAGAAGCTGCTGGGGGCAGAAAGAGGCACGTGGCAAGGCAGTGGCAGAGCTGGGCAGCGAGGCAGTGACGGAGCCAGGCAACGAGGCCAGGGTGAGAGAGGTCTGTGCTGTGGCTTGGGTAGTAATCAATATAATGGTCTTCTGTTGATATGTGTTCTAGTAGTTAGATTGCTGAACTGTCATTGGTCATTACAAGTGCTGTCATATGGATGTAAATCAGGTAAATATTGCATTTTATTAATATCAGCAGATCTTACTTAAATGGGGCCTGTGTGTTGTGTAGTCTTGCCTTAATCTTTGTATTCATGCCTGTCAGCATCAAAGAAGCTATTTGCATATATTTGTGACCACACTTAAGTTGTGGCCCTCCATTATGACTCCCGGGGCTTCCAAAGTTGAGTAGCCCTGATCTAGATGGTTCTGGGTCCTGCCATGAGGGCAGTGGACTGGACTTGATGACCTCCCGAGGTCCCTTCCAGTCCCAGTATTCTAATATTCTATAACTTTTCAAATACAAGATAATAACTTGAACCTGGAGTTAAATTATTTCCATGTAGCTTCAATTCAATTTAACATGCAACCAATGTCTTGGATTGGCAATATGGCTCTGTGCTTAGTGATAGGAGAGGGGCAAAATGAAATAAAACATTCTCGTTGTGTTCTTTTTGGTGGGGGGAGGAAAATGGATATTGGATAGACTGATATACCAAATCCCCTAGTCTAACAGGTTTTAATTTACACCAGATACCTAAGAGAAAAAAATGGTACCATCTATTTCAGTGTTTCTTAAACTATGTTCCGTGGAACACTGGTGTGCCGTGAACAGCTCGCAGGTGTGCTGCAACCTCTTCTTTGTTTTTGTTACTATTTTGTTTTTGTCTTTTTGTGTCTGACAACAATTTTTTTTGAAGAAAATTTCATAGGTGTTCGCATAAAAAATATTATTGTTCCGTGGTCTCAAAGTTTAAGAAACTACTGGTCTGTTGGAAGTTCATTGAAATATGAAACGAGTTGCTGGTCTCAGTCCACTTAGGCTTCATCTACACTGCTGGTTTTGCCGGCGGTGAGTATGCAAATGAGGCACGGATTAGCAGATTGCCCTGCCTTATTTGCATAATTTATGCAAGCTGTTTTTGCGCAAAGGGTTTTTGCAGAAAAAAAAGTAATGAGGACGTTTTGGTTTTGTACAAATCCCTGTTTTCCACAAGAGACTTATGCCTCTCCCAAAGGGGCATAAGGATCTTGCAGAAAACGGGGCTTTTGTGCAAAAACAAAATGTCCACATCTGCAAAAATGACTTGCATAAAATATGCAAATGAGGCATGGTGATATGCTAATCTGCACCTCATTTGCATGCTCGCTGCCAGCAAAACCAGCAGTATAGACAAAGTCTTAGGCTACGTCTAGACTGCAAGCCTTTTTTGAAAGAGGCTTTTTCGAAAGTATCTTGTGAAAAAGCCTCTTGTGAAAAAGAGCATCTAGACTACAACCAGTACTTTTGAAAAAGCAAGCTGCTTTTTCAAAAGAGAGTACCCAGGCAGTCTGGAAGCTCTCTTTCGAAAAAGCAAAGTTTTCATTACATAGCACCTCCGAAAAAGGTGTTATTCCTCGTAAAACGAGGTTTTCCGCAGTTGAAAAAATTGCTGCATTCTATTTACTTTTGAAAGAATGTGGCTGTAATTTAGACGCAGGTGAAGTTTTTTTCAAAAAAACCCTGTAGTCTACACACACCCTTAGTGACTACATAGGTATCTTACAGCTTGTCTACACAGTTGGGTAATGCTCTCTACATTAGTGTGCTTTAAAATCACACCCTTGTGTTGGGCTTTAATTGGTCTCTGTGGACCTTGCTGGTGCACTCTGACATAGGGCTATTTCAAACACCACATTAAAATGCACTCGGGAACCTTTACTGAGGACTATCACTGTCTACAGAGACCAATTAATGCACAACTTATTAGTGCACTTCTCATAGAGAGCATTACCCCATCATGTAGAAAAGCCCTGAAGAGGTGTTGGTGATTGTTTAAGCTATGGAGTTTTTATTATCCTCTTACCCATAGTTGGGGCTGCTTAATATTTCTGGCATATTGTTAGGGCCCTGCATTTTTTTTTCTGTTTCCCTGGTGCAGCGTGAAGCTCTAGAAGAACAAAGGATGACAGTCTCTAGGACTGGCACTTTTTCTCCCATGCTAGATTTATTCTGAAAGAAAGGGAGCAGGAGGAATTAAAAGTAAAGAATGCTGTTCCCTTTCTCCCTCCTAAAAATGTAACTGGATATATGTCAACATCTAAAAAGATGAAAAGGGGAATGAACAAATCCCCCATATTTGTACTCTATCACAAAACCAAAGATGCATATTTTCAGAGAGGCAAAATGTGGTATTTCAGCCAAGATATGGATGACATAACTCACAGTACTTTGCACCTTGTCATGTGGCTATGAGGAGGAGATATCAAATGCTAATAAGAAAGTTAATAATCAGTTGAGGCGAAATTGCTACATTTGCCTGGATTACTTTGCTTTTATTATTGTTACATGATACTAAGGACAATGCTTTGCAAATTGGGTTCCTGAAGTTTAGCAGCTAAATCCATATTTAAGTATCTAAATAAATGACCAGACTTTCAGAGAGGCTAAATCAGATCATTTCCTTCTGGTGCCTCAATATGGTTTTAAGAGCTTAATGGTAGTCATCAACTTGAATATTTTAGCCTTCATATTTTGTTTCTATATTACATATGGAATGAGAGCTCTTATCTCCTCTTCACTATTTTTATATGTTCAGGTTATATTTCAGCAACAGTACCTGGTATAATTTTTAATTACAATTGAAACTATGCCTTTTTAAGACACCGATAGTAGCAAGTATTTCATTGTGGGAAAGAACTACCACTACTTAACAATGTTTTTTTTTCTGCATCCCAAGAAGGGAGAGCACTTCCATTGCGCTGGAGGAGTGGGAATGCTGGCAATTCAAGGAGGCTGTTGCAATGTATTGTGTTGGTCAAAGATCTTTTGGAGAACACTGTAGGATTGAAATTGGATCTTCTCTGCTTCAAGTGACTACAATAGAAAAGCAACAGATCAATGGTAATGCTAGCAGAAAAACACAATTAACTTCAGTTTACTGAAATGGTATGCTCTAAGCTGGCAAAAATTCACAATATGTATATAAATGTCTATTCTATTGGTTTACTTTGTATTTATGTGGTTCAAATACCATATATTTGTGACTTAAGGTATAATTTAAGGAACTAATTTGCTTCACAAATACTAATTACTGCATAGACTTTATTAGAGCATCTGGGGGAAAAGTGCTGCTCATTACACTGTCTGAGGATTTTTTCCAGGGGAAAAAAATACCTTTGGCTAAACTCAGCCTGATTTAGAGAACACTAGTCTGAAAGGTGTAATGCATTAATGTCAAGCATAATATTTTAAGAGCAGCAGCTGAAGTTCAACAGAGTAATCAGCCCTGCAGTACCAGCCATGCTGCATTATTATCTCTCTAATTTCTCTTAGGTATGCTCCACCCATATTTGACTGGCCAAGGGGGGAAATGATGAAGCAGGTTAATGTGACATAGCAGCACTGTAACACATGTATCTGAAGCTGTCAAAGTGAAGGAAAGCTAGACTCTGGATTAGATGCTCTAAGTGTGAATCAGAACACCTCCATTGTTGTCTTCTGCATCAGGTGAGAATCCTGTTAATCCGCATGGCTTACTGACATTAATGAAGGTCATTAATCCAACACCTGCCAGTAGCCTCCCCAGGAATTGAAAATGGGGGGGGGAGTGTTCAAATTTACAAGGGGTGTGAGAGTCAGGGCTGATGAAAGGTGAGACCCTGAAGGTCGTGAAGGTGATGGTGGGCTGTATGGCACCATAATTCACAAAACTGGGGCGGTGTTGGTGAAATTCAGGGGGGGTATACACCCCCATGGGGAGTG